TTTTTGGGCCAAACGTGTCTAAATTCTGGTCAAAATCAATTTTTAATTTTAATTTTGACCAGAATTAAGGCAAATTTAGCCCAAAATCTACCCTCTTTTGCCCTACCACCTACCTTAGAATTATCCGGGGTCCTACGTAAGTTGTGTTTGATAACAGATATGGTAAGCCAGGTTGATTACTAACCAACGAGAAGAATGTTGTTGAAAGTATCATATTTCATACCCTAAAATAAAATAATAAAAATTAATATCATTTTTCGTACTGACTAACATCATTCCTTAAATCCACGCATATACTTTAACCCAGTTGTTACAATTATAATAACAAGATAAAGTGTCGTGTTAATGCAGGGGTTGAGAAATAGTTAAGAGTAATTTACGGTAAAAGGAAAAATTGCATTTGGCTAATATGCTAAAAGAATATGAAAATACTTTGAATGATTATATTAGAACAGTAAGTATATACTTGTGAACATCACAAAACCGATATGCATAATAGACAATTTTTGTATCAGTATTGGAGGTTATCAGATTTGAATTATTATAAACTATTAGATTATATAACAAAACAGACTTGGCATACTAATTTTTTATCAGATTTGACAGGTTACTGACTTTGAGAGGTTCAATAGTATATATAGTAAAACCTCCATAAGTGCACCCTCTAAATGTATGCTCAAGTTCTGGCCCAAATATATATACGCCCCTATAAATGCACTTACTCTTATTGATCTTTAAGTGCACGTTGTTAAAGCTTGCCCCACTTATAGAGGTTTAACTGTATATACTGCATGTTGATAAAAAGTAACTGATCGAAAAGACAGGGGAGAGTAGTCAGGGTTGCACGCCACGTGCTACAACCCTGCCCCGTTAGTGCAAGTGGGGACCGGGATTTCATGTGAACACAACTACGTAACGGAGAAGAAACGTCAGACCATATCGATTTTCATGCGAACACAGCTACGTAACAGAAAGCCACCGTCCTCAATCAATTAAAAAGAAGCGACGAATAAATCGATTTTCCAACACTCCTTGTAACACAATCAAGCATTATAACCGTCATTTTCTCGACCCAACCCTTCCCTCCACACGCAGGGGAACACTCTCCTGATTCTGTCATTTTCCTATTTAACAGCCAGCCTGCTTTGAGCAGGCCGGCTGATGCTGCTTCTCACTCATACTACTGTTACGATGATACCTGGGCGCAATCTCACTTGCTAATTTTCCCGGGAGCATATCATCGTTTCAATTCAAATTACTCAGCTCAAATTACTCAGTTCAAATTACTCACAATGTATTCTGCGGACTTAAAGTCCTTTAATTGAATTTATTTCCGGCACCTTTGGCGTGCCGGCATTCGTCCAATAACATGGCCAATCGTTTTTCGTCAATAATAAAAAGCATAACATTAGAGCACAGAAATTTGAATAAAGAAAATACCAACAAATTTGTTATGAAAAAATAAATTTTTGGTATCGGTCATAATTATAGAACTATAAAAATACAATTTATATAAGAAGTCTTATGATAAAATTTTTCTTAATTTATAAGTAATGTGTGTTAATTTTAAAGTAATTAGAATCTATTTTTTATAGTATACGCCAAAACTGACCAAAACCAGGTGATAGTATTAGCTAGCTTCGATTTACCTGTTAAAGGCTAAGGTTAACAAATAAATAGTAAGAAAATCATGTTTGCGTAGTAACTCAGGGTAGTGTTGACTGTAGAATTACTAAATTACGGCATTACACATTCTACCATATGGTAGGATTAATTACGGCTCAGGGTCTAATTGCCGTAAATATTATGAAAATATATATATTTTTTTATGAATTAATTCTTTAAATTCTATAATTTTATTCACATAACTAGATATAATGAAAATGCGAATTTTACATTACAGCATTAGTAACACATCTATATTTACATTTGAAAGAATTTTATATTGGTTTTTATAATTATAAATGTAAAGTAAAAATAAAATTTTTACTTAATATATTTTGCAACGTATGCATAATCAACGTTGGAAACTTATGTTCCCATGATAACATGAGAACATGCCTATTCTATAAATTTTCTCTATGGAAAAAAAATTTTGAGAACATAATACTCAAAAATTATAAGTATTATATGAGTATAATATCATAATGCCAGATGGAACTAAAATTAGAAATCGAGGCAAGTTCGAAATCATTTGAAAAAAAATGAACATGAAAGACGAGAGGGGTTGGAAAAAAATTTTGAATTAATGTTCGATATTTTCCAAAATAATAAATAGATATAATTAAATTTTAGTAATTTTTTTAAAACAGATTTCCAACACTGTGCATGATAAAGCAATGTTTGCAAAAAATTTATTAAATATTTGATATATATTGATGAAAGGGTTTAATACATGAAAGAATATTTTAAAATAAGTCATAAATATAAGTGTTTTTATCAATAAATAAATATTACAGTAAACAATTTTAATCTATGTCTACAGGAAAAAAAAAATAGTAAATTCAGATGTTTAAAATCTTTGTAAAAAATGTATCATTTTTAATAGTTATAATTACCTTTTTTATAGTTATTTACGTTAGAATTATAAAGCTTTTCAAAACGTTCTACATCAACAACATACTCTGTTAAAAAAAATTGCAATGAATCATATCTTTTTTTCAATTCATAGTTATTTAAAGAAATGGATTCTGGACGATAAACTAATGGAATATATTCAAGAGTGTCCTTCAATTTGGTTTGTACTGAACGATTTATTCTGAAACCATATTTCTGAATTAATCCCCATGGTTTAATAGAAATGGTGCCTAAAATATAAATCGATAATGATTAATAATTAGTATGTATATTTAAATATAAGTCAAATTAATACTCTAAATTTAGAGCTTACCAAAAAGCAACGCATAAATGGATGCAGCGAATCCGAATGAACCTCCAATTAAACCAAGAGAAGACAAAACCTAAATTGACAAATTTTTTAGGATAAACATTTATAATTTTAAAAACTAAAATAGGCTAAACAAATTTGAATACTTACAGTTTTGTTTCTTTAAAAGAGTCAAGATAAATTAAATTATAAAATAAATAAATTTTTTTATTAAATTAAATAATTATTTAATTTTATGATACCTTTTATCAGTCTCAACTTGAACAGTGTAAGTTGGTTGTTCAATTATTATTTTTAGAATTGATGTTGGTGTGTCGTTTTGAAAGGGAAATATTTCTAATAATTATCATAAATTTGTGTTATGAATAATTAATTTAATTCGTAAATTGCATAACATTTTAAAATGGTTTACCTTTTGATGATGTGAAATATGGTATTTTCACAAGGTTAGACGACAATCCTATATAATTTTCCCAACTTGGAATCATAATGTCTTTTCTTCTTCTTATTAATTTAAATCTATAAGACTGTCAATGGAAAAGACACGAAACATTAATAGTAATTCGTAAAATAAGATTAATAAGACCCAGTGAATCAAATAGAGAATTTAAGGAATAAATCGATTGGCTAAACTTTTATGAATATTTACACTGTATGCTGAAATACCATAGAGATTTTGAATGTCGATTGAATTAAATAATCTTGAATGTACGCCAAGTAAATTTGGTTGAGTTAATACCCAATTAATCTATTTAGCATAGTTAATATCGGCAACTATTTAAAAATAAATATATAATACGTTATATATTGTACTCCACAAACTAAAACATCTCTTAAATAATTTAGAAGTTTTATAACGTTGACTAACCGCTGTCTAATATCTTAAATTTGATGTTTGATTGACTTGGATCAGAGTTAGGATCTTTTGTATAAAAATTAAGTTCCAATGAACTTAATCCATTATCAGGTATTTTAGAAAACAACAAATCACTTGAAAAAGATCCCATAGATTCGTATATCGTTACTCTGCTAGGAGAAGTACCAAAAATAGAAGAAATTTGTGGTTGTATTACAAACTGTGTGCAATCGTAAATGACATCTAATATAGAATTAATTTTGAGCGAAAGAAAGAATTGAAAATTTTTTGCTTGCTTTGTATCTAATAAAATCTAATACTTAAATGACTAATACTTACTAGCATTCATAAAATTGCAAGTAATACTTATATTTTGAATTGTGTTAAATGTAAAATTAAAATTTTAATAATTTAATTCATAAGTTAATTAACATTAAAAGGTATAAATTTCTTACTAGGAACAGGAAAAGCATCTTCCTCAGTCAAGGATTGCAGAACGACCGGACCATCATTATAAATGCCCCAAATTATTAACCAAGTATATCCAATCAAAGAGACTAAAAGTAGTAGTAACACGAAAAGTCTTAATACAAAAATTGATGATGGTTCAGTCTTTCGATATCTTTGAGAGAATAATTTTTCTAAGATCATTTTTTACATATAGTTATAATATATTATTCGAATTGGTGAATAATATGGATTTTTATTAAACCAATTTATTTATGAAATTATTGAAAATGACTTTGTTAAGAGCAAGGTTTCATCTTTGATACGTAATAAAAAGAATTTGTCATAAATAAAGTTTCAAGAAAAACCTGGTTTAACCTGATAATTATCAAATATTAAGAACCAATTATATGGATGAAGATATGAAGCAAAAATATTATTGACCCAAATCTTGATGTGTGGCTTATCTATAGTAATTAGGGGGATTTCGGAATTAACTTTTTTCAAAACAAGTTGGAGTTTAAAAGATTCTATTTTCTTTTTTAGAATTGAATCAGAGAATTAAATAAGCGTAGCTAAAATTAGCTTTTTTTTTTGATAAATATTTACTCGTTAAACGATTTTGTAAATAAGTTCGAATTAAATTATTATTAAACTAGGAGCTTGAGTTGCTTAAAGGGAGTTAGAGATGAGTGTACTATATCTGATATTTTATTATGCAGTGCAAGG